CCCAGCCCCCCCCCCCCCAATAATGCCTTGGTGCTCAGCCCCCAATGGGAGCAGGTTGGGGTGAGCCAGAGGCCCCGGGCTGAAGGGGCAGTGTTGCTGTTCATAGCTTTTGTTCCATTGGCTTTGCTGTTGGATTTCATTTCAGTCTCCCTGATTCTTCCCGTCTATAAAGTGTACATTACCAAGTTCCTTGTTTTTATATACATATATATATATAAGTATATATATATACACACACCAACTGTACTCTTTTTGCCTGTGTACATTCAGGCAAGAAGAGAAAATAAATCTTTTTAAGAGACAATCAAAAAAAACCAAAAACAAAAAACAAATAATCTTGAACATTCCCTGATGAACAATAATAAGTTTACATAGTCTTTTTGGCTGTGTGTATGTTTTCTTTTGCTCAAGTTGTTTGCACTTATTGATTTGTTTATATTTTATTATACAATAGGACCTAAAATTGTAAACAAACTCTATTATGTGACATTTTCTTTTCCTTTTGTTATATAGTATAAATATTTCCCTCCTAGTCTATGATTTCTTTTAAAATGTTTTTGACGCAAAAATATCTTGTCTTTTCATACCTAATTAATTATTATTTTTTCTAACATTTGTAGATTTATGCTTTCAGAAGTCTCATTAGCTGGCAGGTCATAAAGATAAAATTGAGTGCTTAAAAAACTTTATGGATATAACTTTTACATATAAGGTTATGACTCTTCTCGTGTAGATTTAGTTGTGGTATGAGGAATGGACACGTTCCTTTCAGTTTCCATATATACACCTAGTTACTCAGACATCTTTAGGAGCCCACTGTGTACTCCAGCAGAATCCCGGTGCCCATGGTGGGGTCTCTCCTGCATCTGTTACTATGCAGACGCGACAAAGCCTCCTGTGCCCATTTCTGTTCCCCTCGTCAAAGCTCACTGTTTTCTCTAACTTTGTTTCTTCAGATGCAGATTTGCTTTCAGCTTTCTGCACTCTGTGAAATAATCAACTTTTTAAAACTTAGTTTTTGCTTGTTTGTTTTTTAACTAATACCTTGGTATAATTAGTCTAAGCAATAAGTGGGGCTCCCTATCAATACAGTTTTACAAGTTTATATTTTTTAATATTTTGTTGCACGTTTTAGATGGCTGCAGTGAGGTGGCATGGCAGAGGGTTTATTCCACTAGACTTGCGCAGAAAGACATGTCTCTGGTGTCATGATTATTTCTGATCTTATTCACCACCTTATG